GTCTTGAAACATTAGGGATATTTTTTTTTCCCTGCAGAGCTTTGAGAAGGAGGTGATTTCAGTCACTTGGTTAGTCAAATAAATAAAGATTTTGGTTTTTTCTACATTTCCAGTTAAGGTAGACAATTTGGGAAGAGCTAACTACTTCCAAAGTGTGTTAAAAGAAGCTCTTTGTTTGCCACTTTATTTAAATCATGGGGAGAGGAAAGTGAGATGGGAAATAGTTTTTCCTTCAGGAAGAGCAGGAGAACTTCTACCTTACCAGTTTTGGTTTTTGTTTGTTTTTTTTCCCCCAGGTTTTCTTCTGTTCATCATTTGTTGTCACTTGCATTTGTAAGGAGAGTTCTTGTGAATGGTTTAAGAAGCTGTTTCATTATTACTTAGCTACCATGTGTTTCTAATGTAGAGAATGCTCCCTAGTTCACTGCTAACTCCTTTTCTGCTCTTTCCTGCTTATCAGTTGATCTCATGAGAAGTGGCATTGACATTTTGGTTGGGACACCTGGTCGAATCAAAGACCATCTTCAGAGTGGCAAGCTGGACCTTACCAAGGTGAAACATGTTGTGCTTGATGAAGTTGACCAGATGCTGGACATGGGATTTGCTGAGCAAGTGGAAGACATTTTACGAGTTGCATACAAGAAGGGTAATCTCAATATTTAAACAAGTAGTAGGAAATATACCTGAATTTCAGCAGACTAAATTATTACTAATATTTTTCTGAAAGTTCAAGGTGGCTTTGTTTAGAAATGTCTGAATACTACATATTGTAGGAAATGTACTGTGAACGCAGTACATGAGCAAGTGTTGCGAAAGTGGGAATCATTCATAGGACCTTTGCAAAGCTTAAAATCCAGTACCCAGGGATCTGTAAATAACTGTCTTTGGCACCTATCTCTAAGTTGTACTTGGACTTCTTCCAATTAAAAAGAATTAGAAGCTTTTTATGCTTTTCACCACTTGAAAATAGACTGGATTTTTGGTCATAGTAACTTTTTTCTAAATCTTGAAAATATTTAGATTTTTTTCTAGAGTATTTTTTCTCTAGATGTTGGTAATGCATAATTTAAAAAGCAGAATTGCCTTCTTTGTTTTATATACTGGTGTTTGAGCTCATATTTTTAATAACCCGTATAATCCACTTGTATGCATCTGTAAGATGAAACATACGAAGTTTGTGAAACATGGTTCTATGTTTTTTTTAAGATTCTGAAGACAATCCCCAGACACTACTGTTTTCTGCAACTTGCCCACACTGGGTGTATGATGTGGCTAAGAAATATATGAAGTCTAGATATGAACAGATTGACCTTATTGGGAAAAGGACTCAAAAGGCTGCTACAACAGTAGAAGTGAGTAATCTATCTAATGTGGAATGTTCCCAGGCCTTTTCCATTTTACTTTATGCTACCAATGGTCATCCTGTCTTAAGGTACCTTATCAGAATGATGTTGAAAGTTGTTTTGAGAATTACAGTTTTTAAGCATAAGGCACATTACAGCTAGTCAAACCGTTTCTGGGTTTAGGATCTGTCTCTTTTCTTACAGCATCCGGTAACCATATAGACATCTCGGGTAGAGTGAGGATTCAGTTATCAGTTACTTTTGTTGGTTTTCAGAGAAAAGCGGTATCTGAATTTATCAAAGTTGGAAGCAAAAGGCACACATTAGCATCAGCCTAGCTCTTTTATATCACCACGGACATCACAGTGAAATTCTGCTATTCTGTGTATAGGAGATATTTTTAAACTTCCTGTGGTATCTCACCTCACATATTTTGTCCATCGGGAAACTGTATCACTCTTTAGTATTTCTGGATTTTAGCACTCCAAATGTATTTAAAAAGAATCTTGTGGTTTTATGTAACCTAAACACTGGATTTTTTTTTTCCATAGCATTTGGCAATAGAGTGTCACTGGTCTCAGAGAGCTGCGGTTATTGGAGATGTCATTCAGGTCTACAGCGGCAGCCATGGGAGGACCATCGTCTTTTGTGAGACCAAAAAGGAGGCAAATGAACTGGCTCTGAATGCTTCAATCAAACAGGTATATATCATCTGTATTAAGTAAAAAAACCTGTCAGACATACGTCAACCCTGTGTTAATACCAGACCTATGCTGAGTAAGTTTTAAGGGGCGACTTTCAGAGTGAATAAGGCAGGCTTTTGCAGGTGGTCAGACAGTTTCAAAACTGCCAAAAAGAACCTTTAAAAAAAACCAACCCAAACTGGTTGAAAATGTACAGCATTATCGTCTTCAGGACTAGGCTGCACTAACAGATACTGGGCTACCAAAATTCTTTTTCTCTTAAAAGAAGAGTTCTCATTGACAGTATGTGAAGCAGTTATGAATTAATTTTTCTGTAGAGAGGACTGTTTTGGATTAAAAAAAATGGTGGTGGACTTAGAGAACTACTAGGATAACAAGTCGTGGTACTGGAATAGCAGTTTTTGAGCTGTGATGCTGACATTAATTAATGTTGTCGGGGGCAGGAGGAAATTTGGGTTTCAAGCTGTAATGTAACAGAGGCTATATTTGTATTTTCATGAAGATGTTTATTAGCTGTTACGGAGAGTTTAAAGATGTATGCACAGAAAGAATTCCATCTGCCATCTCTTGTGAATGACGTCTAGTGTATTCCTGAGATTCGTGGTATGGCACACTCTAGCACTGGTGGAAAATAACTCGTTGATGTAGTGGTGCAACGTAACATGTGGTGACACTGGCACTGCATGCCCAGTTCTGGTGGTGGTATCACAGCAACTGCTTTTTCTGTGTGTGTTTTCATTGAGGAGATGGGTTAAGTTCTGTCTAGAAAGCAGTATAGCATTATGTTCCCAGGGAAAGGAGAAGCTTTTTCATCTGCCGCAACTGTGTTCTGGAGTGTTTCTCCCACACTCCTAGCTGACCTCAGTAACAGCTAAACCTGAGCATGGAGCCTTACCCTACGTTAATGGTGGTGTTAGTGATTGCATAGGCAATGCAGAATTCTGATCTTGGCAGGTCAGAGAAGGAAGTTACTTGGATGTTTCCGTTTTAGCATATTACTACTCACTAACAGAATATATGCCTGTTGTATTTACCAGCTGACATCAGTCCAAAACTAGCTGGAAAAGAGTTTTTGAATTCTGTGCTGACCCGAGCATTGTATTAGTATTTTTTAAAATAATTTTCTGTTTACATGTGAAAAGTGGAGGAAAAAACCAATTTTTGTATGTTTGGTCTTCATATTGCATGATACAGAAGGACTTTCAGAATGTTTGGACTGAAACAAAATTATTTTTGAAGCTGTAGTTCGTTTTTTTTAGGACCACTTATATTTTAATCCTTTAATTGGTAGTGGGGGAGATTAATATATTAAGGGAGATTAGGAAGAAACACTATTTTGGAAAAAGATGCCTAATGAATACTAGGAAGGCCTGAGAAAATTGTCAGTGACTATTTTGAAACAGCTATGCCTTGCATAGATGGTGTGGATGGCAAGTTAGGGCGTAGTTGCTCTCGTAGGTCACAGTAATTAGAGGTAAGACACTAAGGTGATTCTGTTTTCCTACCTTTATTAAAGGTCTTTGAGGTATATGAATAAGAAGTACTGAGTAAATACTGTAAGACACCTAAAACATAAACTCTAGGAATTGTCAGTATCTTGCCGTACATTAATCCTTCAAACACCAAGATACTGTACCCAAAGCTGACCATAAATGGAGCGGTGTCTTGGATTTTGGTATGGTCCTATAATAACACTGTTTTTCAGGATTGCCAGTCGTTGCACGGTGACATTCCCCAGAAGCAAAGAGAGATCACACTGAAAGGTTTTCGAAACGGTACATTTAAAGTTCTGGTTGCAACCAACGTCGCTGCCCGTGGTTTAGATATCCCTGAAGTTGACCTGGTTGTACAAAGTTCACCACCAAAGGTAGGATATGGTTATGTTTGGTGTCTTGTAATGATTTGTAGTCTTGTTTTCAAGTAGTATATGCTGTCAGGTATTCACCATGCAGAGTTTATCAGCATGGCATTTAAGGGTAAGAAATGTCCTGATATGTAGAGGTACTTTCTTAGAGGATTTTTTCCAGAGTGTGTCAGTCCCTAGTATGTTTCAACACGGTCTCCTTACAATGCCTTCTTTAAAGGTTTTTCAAAGCCTCTCCCTTCAAGGCCATATATGGTGATGGCAAGTCTGGAAGCAGTGAGAAGTGAGGAAAGCCTGTTTGTCTTGCAAGAATGATTTACTAAGTGGGGGCATATATGAGGAGGGGACCCCAACAGTGAGAATATTGGCTGAAGTTAAGAGGGCTTAAATAGAACAATGTAATTTTTCCGTGGATGCTCAATTAATATCTCAGTAACCATGCTTAAGTTGATGTGCAGGAAGGTGAGAGGGATTGTTAGAGGTATACATACTCAAAATGTTTTCTCCTGTTTGTGCTGATGCCAAAACAAGACTTAGTTGATCTATGCTCATGGTTCTGGCTTTCAAACCGTGATTTTTAGAGGGTTATGGAAAAGCTTACTCATTTGACTTTAACAAAACTGGTTTTTAATTTAATTCTCTGATGCAGTTATTGTGTATTGTTCAGGCTTAACTGTAATAGCTTCTACTAAATTATGTGAATGCAATTAATTGATTAAATTACAATAAATTCAGTAAGTCATAAAGCTATTTATTTTGAAGGATGTGGAGTCCTATATCCATCGTTCTGGACGCACAGGGCGGGCTGGACGGACTGGGATCTGTATCTGTTTTTATCAACGAAAGGAAGAACATCAGTTAAGATATGTGGAACAAAAAGCGGTAAAGTACAGTTTTCTTCTGATCACAAGCACTCAAATGTAACGTGTTAGGGTAGCACGTAAAATCTTCATGTTTTGTCCAGTAGTTCAATTGCAGAATATAGCTTATAAAGCACCCAGGTGAGGTTCGGTTACCTTGCAGAGTTTGGGTACACTGGCAATTACTCTGGAGCAGGGAGCATGCTGCATATTCTCATGCCCGTGCTTTTCAGCAAATGCCCGTACCTGTGGAAACGAGAAGAAGCTAGCAGTATTTCAGTTTAGTGTTCACCCTGGCTTGTCATCTGATCAGTGATTGGCATATGTGTGGCTTTACTGAAAATCGTTGTTTCCATTTTTGCACTTTGTGCACTGTTTCATATGGTAGTTTTCTCACCAATTAAGTATTCGGTTGCGATGAGATGGTTTAGTCTCTGCACATAAAACTTGGACTTAATTTAGAAAGGCTGTGTAACTTAAATCCAAGTAAATCAGACTAAAATTAAGAACTTAGAATTTGTAGGACTTTTTTTCCTTTCAAATCTGCCAAAATGATCTCTATTTATTTCAGTTTAAGGTCACTGGATCATTTATCATGGAAACATAGAATACCAGGTGGGAAGGGACCTCAAGGATCATCTAGTCCAACCTTTCAAGGCAAAAATATAGTTTAAATTATATGGCCCAGCACCCTGTCAAGCTGAGTCTTAAAACTGTCCAATGTAGGGGAATCCACCACTTCCCTTGGGAGATTATTCTAATGTCTAATTGTCCTCATGGTGAAAAAGTTTTTTCTGGAGGCCAATCAGAATCTCCCCAGGAGTAACTTGTATCCATTACCTCTTGTCTTTTCCATGTGACTCCTCCTAAAAAGGGAGTCTCTGTCTTCTTGATAGCCACCCTTTATGTACTGGTCATAAGTTTTCCCCTAAGCCTTCTCAAGGCTGAACAAATGCAGTTTTCTCAGCCTTTCTTCATATGGCAGGTCTTCCAGTCCTCTGATCATCTTCTTGGCCCTCTTCTGGACTCTTTCCAGCTTGTCCACATCTTTTTGTATAGCAAGGACCAAAACTGAATGCAGTGCTGAAGGTGTGGTCTGACCAGCGCTGAGTAGAGCGGAATAACGACTTCTTTATCGCTGCTGGTGATGCCCTTGTTAATGCAACCCGGCATCCTGTTGGCTTGCTTTGCTGCTGCAGGACACTGTTCACTTATGTTGAGCTTGTTGTCCATCAAGACCCCCAGATCCCTTTCCACAGGGCTGCTCTCCAGCCAGGTCTGAGCTGCATTCCTGGGTTATGTACTCCCAGGTACAAGGCCTTACACTTCTCCACATTGAACTTCATAAGGTTCCTGCTAGCCCGCTCTTTCAGCCTGTCCAGGGCTTCCTGGAGGGTGGCTCTCTCTTCTGGAGTGTCAACTATGCCACTCATTTTTGTGTCATCAGCAAACTTCATCAGGGTACACTTGATCCCATCATCCACATCACTTATGAAGATATCAAACAGCACTGGGCACAATATCGATCCCTGGGGGACCCCACTTGTAACTGGTTGCCACTTTGTGAATTAACTATTTCCTGCCACCCTCTGGGTATGACCTGTCAGTCAGTTCCCCACTCACTGCACAGACCACAGCTTTGAAGTGTTCCCTGTTTCCTTGTAAGCTTAACCTTGTAATTTTCACTAGCAAAAGCTGGGAGTTAAAAGGTGAAAAGAAGAAAAGTGATAGATTTAAATGCTTGTCTCATTGGAGTCCAGTTTCTTTAGAACTGAATGATTAATTAATGTTCTACAACTTCTATCTGTATTTTGCTTTTTAAATTTCAGGGCATTACATTCAAGCGTGTTGGTGTTCCTACTGCAACAGATATAATTAAGGCTTCCAGCAAAGATGCCATCAGGTGTGTTTGGCGACTCAAGCCCTGTTGTATCTTCCTGTTTTCCTAGTTCAGAATGGCTGTTTGGATTGCTCTCTGCCATCTCTCTGAACTGATCACTATTAAAGTCTTGGACTGCTGTTTTTCTATTCCAGAGCCTAGTAAATACTAGCATACAATTTTTTTTTTTTTTCTTGCTTTAATTACATTTAGGTGTCTGGATTCTGTTCCTCAAACTGCTATTGAGTATTTCAAAGAATCTGCTCGGTTCCTAATCCAAGAAAAGGGACCAGTTAATGCTCTGGCTGCAGCTCTAGCCCATATTTCAGGTGCTACTTCCATTGAACAGCGCTC